AGGGTACCAATCTTCCAATTTTATATTGAATTGTATCTGATCGGTACATATTGAAATGCATATTGAATTTTAAGTAATTTTACTTGTTAATGGGCATTAGAAATAAATCCAACGCACGGTAATATTTATTTACTGAATTTGGGAATTGCTTGTTGCTCATTACTGTCTCCTTGGGACTTTTAAGCCTTTAATTTTTGGTATCTGATGCTGGTGGGCCTTGGAATGTTAGGATATTGAGCATCAACTCTTCGAATCTTATCTTAAGGGAGAGGAAAATAATAGAAAAAGGAAAAAATCTGACAGAAAAATTAACTAAAAATTCCCCCCGCCCCCTCAGAACTTTTTGTATACTGTGATTGTTAGTAAAGCATAATAATCACGTGCATCAAGTGATTATTATCTATTACTTAACGTGTAAACTCTAGTTTACGTACATTTCTAAAATTTGCCCTGCTTGTTATCCATGATCTTGAATGTGCTTCTGTAAATGTGATGTAGCAAAGTGGATCATTTAGGATGTTATAGTATATTTTATCGCATTTAGTTTTTTTCAGAAAATAATTGCGACAAAGCTTTTGAGGGAGTTGAAGTTTTAAAAAATGTCAAATTTTTACATTTTTCTTCTGTTTTAGTTGATACCGCGATGGTTTCATCATAACTCCATTGTTCACTGGATATCAAAGTTTAGTTTTAGATTCTCTATAAACATAGTGGCACCATGTAGAACACAATCCGAGAGGAGAGAAAAACTGTTACGAGTTCGAGTTTCCACGTTAGGTTTTGCGTGAATTTTGCTACCTGATTTAATATGTCTCATGTTAAGGGATAAAATCTCACGTCAAATAAAGATGGAAATATTGACCCATTTAAAAAGATATTGGACTACTCATCTTAACAAGGTTGACCTTTTAAGATGAAATTTCAAATCTTAACATGGTATTAGAATCCATTAAGCTCCAACAAGTGATCCGATCCGATTAAAACTCAATAAATGAGCATACGAATTTTAAGATTGGTCTACTCAAACGAGCCACCATCTTACAAGAGCATGTTAAGGGATAAAATTTCATATCGAATAAAGATGAAAAAAAAAAAAAAAAAGAAAAAAAATTGATAGAAAAATTCATCACATGGATAGAAAAAAAAATACAATTATGTGGGTATGATATTGGAGAGATCCAATATAAACATTATACAATGAATCTATCTTATCCATCTATTTTCAAATTAAAAGGACGCTGAGAGAACGTCTTTATTAAGAATGAAGATTTATGTTGCGGTGTGGAATGAACGAAATAGGTGTAAGAGACAATCAAAATTCTAGACAATGAATCACATCAATTCAATTCAATTCGTAAATATCCGAGCTCGTTAGCCCTATGAATGAGTAGAGCTTGGCTCGTGTGGAATGAGTCGAGCTTGAATTGGGCTTGTGAGCCTCACAAGTCAAAACGAGTCATCCACGAACCAAGACGAGTTGAGGCAAGTTGTTTTGTTGGCTCATGTCCATGAATACAAGTGAGTCGGTTCCTGAGCATGAGCCAATTGAAAAAAAAAGAAAAAAGAAAAGTGAGTTTAACTCGATTCACAAATCATCTCAAAACGAGGTCAAGTTTCCGAGCCGCTTGACTCATTTTCCACCCCTAATGTCTTATTCAGATTTTTATCATTAGAATTTTATAGATCAAAAATAATTTCATAGAAACATTTTTTTAAGCCTGGTGAAACTTACCATGAAAATCTCCTTTTCGTTTTTATTTATTTATTTATTTAGTCCAATCTCTCGTCTTAGGGAAGGACATCCTAGTTACACGTTCCCGCCCTTTCCGTCGATTTCGTTGATCCAAAAATTAATAACAATAATTTAAAGGTGAAACTTGAATGCTTAAACACTAGTTCTCACATTATAACATTAGATGATATGATTTCTGAATTGTACGTTTGTATCGGAATTCGATGAACAAACAATTATCCACAAATTTTTGCAGAAGGTAATCTTTTTTCCGAATTCATTTTGCTTGTTTGCCACATCTTTAATTCTTCGCACTGTTTTTATTGACATAACTTGGTCGCAATTCAATCGCATTTCGATTGGAATGCCTGAAGATCATTTCGTGTTTCCCGTGTGCGAGGGTACCAATCTTCCAATTTTATATTGAATTGTATCTGATCGGTACATATTGAAATGCATATTGAATTTTAAGTAATTTTACGTGTTAATGGGCATTAGAAATAAATCCAACGCACGGTAATATTTATTTACTGAATTTGGGAATTGCTTGTTGTTCATTACTGTCTCCTTGGGACTTTTAAGCCTTTAATTTTTGGTATCTGATGCTGGTGGGCCTTGGAATGTTAGGATATTGAGCATCAACTCTTCGAATCTTATCTTATGGGAGAGAAAAATAATAGAAAAAGGAAAAAATTTGACAGAAAAATTAACTAAAAATTCCCCCCGCCCCCTCAGAACTTTTTGTATACTGTGATTGTTAGTAAAGCATAATAATCACGTGCATCAAGTGATTATTATCTATTACTTAACGTGTAAACTCTAGTTTACGTACATTTCTAAAATTTGCCCTGCTCGTTATCCATGATCTTGAATGTGCTTCTGTAAATGTGATGTAGCAAAGTGGATCATTTAGGATGTTATAGTATATTTTATCGCATTTAGTTTTTTTCAGAAAATAGTTGCGACAAAGCTTTTGAGGGAGTTGAAGTTTTAAAAAATGTCAAATTTTTACATTTTTCTTCTGTTTTAGTTGATACCGCGATGGTTTCATCATAACTCCATTGTTCACTGGATATCAAAGTTTAGTTTTAGATTCTCTATAAACATAGTGGCACCATGTAGAACACAATCCGAGAGGAGAGAAAAACTGTTACGAGTTCGAGTTTCCACGTTAGGTTTTGCGTGAATTTTGCTACCTGATTTAATATGTCTCATGTTAAGGGATAAAATCTCACGTCAAATAAAGATGGAAATATTGACCCATTTAAAAAGATATTGGACTACTCATCTTAACAAGGTTGACCTTTTAAGATGAAATTTCAAATCTTAACATGGTATTAGAATCCATTAAGCTCCAACAAGTGATCCGATCCGATTAAAACTCAATAAATGAGCATACGAATTTTAAGATTGGTCTACTCAAACGAGCCACCATCTTACAAGAGCATGTTAAGGGATAAAATTTCATATCGAATAAAGATGAAAATATAGATCCACTTAAAAAGGCCTTGGGCTATTCCTTTTAACAAAGTTGGTATTTTAAGATGAACCTCAAATCTTTAACACCTCATTTATAAAATTCTAATAAATAGGTACTGACCTGTGATCTTTTAAACAAGTACACCTTTTTAGTTAAACACCATTAGCTTGATCTAATTCATTAAGGTATATGAATTAGCCTACCATACTTGCTATAGTTTGCAAAATAGTGTCAGTTTGTCTTCTTTTGCTCCTGTGCTTCTTTCTTACTATTTAGTTTGAGCAAACAACACTATAATTTTCTTATTTTTTTAATAAATTTACTCTAATCTCACACGTTATATATTTCATTCTTATCAGCTGGTAACGACCTGAGCACTCCAATATTCTCGCAAGTTCGTCCTATATAAAGCAACTCCCGCCCCTGTCCACTTTGTTGACTTACTACTGTAAGGGTTTTCTTCTGCTTTCAATTATTTAAGGTGAGAGTAGAGTAAATACAATGCAGAAGAGCAAAAGTCCCCCTTTACCTTCAACACCTACTTGTCGAATTCGTCATCGAAGACGTTGGCACTCACACGAGGTAAGCAGTACACAATTTCCTTTCTGCAGTTGGGCAGAGAGGGTTCTGACTGACATAAACTTTTGCACTTCACCATAGATTTAATATTTGAAAAATAATCACATATTCTTCTGTGCATGTTCTTTCTACAGCTATTTATTCCAATGATGCTTTTTCTGGGTCTGTGACATCTTTATAAAATAATTTATTACACGCGCAATTTAAATAGTTGTACTATCACAGATTCACAATTGACGTCCATAGGGACAAACAGACAAGGGGAAAAATGAAATCTGATCATTCTTCGTCTTCTGTCCTTTCATTTGGAAGTTGAACATCCCTTCTCCTAAAGAGGAGTTTCAAGCTCTTCTCCTGCAAATTCAGTTTCAACTTTCAAGTTCTTTCATAAACCACTATTGCTATGGCAGCAGTTGGCTTCAAAATTAGCTTTGGAACACCACTGTTAAGTCGTATCTTCTCGCATATATATGGAAAAACATCTAATATATGTTGACACAAGTCCTTAGGGAACAGGGCCACCTGATGCCTTGAGCTCCATATGCTTCTCACCTGTCAGTCTGAACTATTATGGTGACAATGCCGCCTTATGCCATGAGCTCTACGGCTTTGACCTCTCTATTTTAAACTTTAGTCACCATCATTTAATGGCTATTTTTATTTTTCTGGTCCAACTTCGGTGACATGAAAACTTGAGTAAGGTTATTAGCTTGCCTTATCTGATGATGTGCATTGATTAATATAGTGGAACACCATTTGACATCTATGACCGGTAAGTTTCATTAGTGGAATCATTCTTCTGTCACTATCTATTTTTGTTCTAAACAGATCACAGCACTAGAAAGATATTATCTATGATCTGGGGAGGGTTGGGGATTGAAGAGGAGAGGCATTTTGTTCATCCAAAAGCTTGTAAAATGATTTCTTTTTGCATGTGATTTGAATGGTTTACTGGGGCTAAATGAAGTTGACTGAAAGAGGTCATTTTTACTTAGAAAATGCGGCTCTCATGTTTGGTGCCAGGTTTTTCCTGATGTAAGCAAATTAAATGGAAGCCTCTTACTGGTTAATGATCAAAACAAATACAGATCTATGCGGATTCGCACATTTTCATCGTTGTGGATGCTTGGGAGCGTCATACTGATTCTTTACTTGGGCCATCTTTATATTTGTGCAATGGTAGTTGTCATCCAAATATTCATGGCATCCGAGCTGTTCCATCTGCTTAGAAGAGCTCACGAAGATAAGCGTCTTCCAGGATTTAAGTTTATCAATTGGTGAGAAAAACCAAAGTACTTTTTTGTAGAACTTTCCACCCAAAGTTCCTGCATTGCTCCTAATTGTTCAGGAGCAGATTTCATCTTTTTTCTATTGTGACTGTGTTCAATATTTTGTGTCAGGCATTTTTTCTTTACAGCAATGCTTTATGTATATGGCCGCATTCTCAGTCAACAGCTCGTCAATACTGTGACTTCAGATAAATTTTTCTATAAGCTCGTGAGCGGTCTTATCAAGTATCAGATGGTCATTTGTTATTTTGCATACATTGCTGGTCAGTTTATTTTGAATACTCGCACAGGATTTATCGGCAAATTTTATTTTTATTTTTATTTTTATTTTTTTTTCATCTTAGTGCCTCTATTACTTTTACCGTTCCTGTTAATGGCATATGATGTTTGAGAATATGAAATTTACTCATATCTATCACAGGAATGATGTGGTTCATTCTTAGTTTGAAGAAGAAGATGTACAAGTATCAATTTGGTCAGTATGCATGGACGCATATGATTCTTATTGTCGTCTTCATACAGTCCTCTTTCACTGTTGCTAATATTTTCGAAGGAATATTCTGGTAATACACCTCCGAAATTATTAAGTTAAACTAGTCTCTTTGATATACAAGGGTGTAAGCATGTTTTGGCAATGTGTATAAATGGTTTAAATTATAACTAGATAGAAATGAGTGGTGGACCCCTTGAAATATGTGGATAAAATGTGGTTTTGTTTATAGACAGATTATAAACATAAGATAAACAGAGTCTTAAATTTTTTATTCTGAGAATCGGATTCTATTCTTTTAAAACTCCTTTCAATGCATCTAATTATGCAGGTTTCTTCTTCCGGCATCCCTTATAGCTGTCAATGATGTGGCTGCGTACTTTTGTGGCTTCTTCTTTGGTAAAACACCATTGATCAAGCTATCCCCAAAGAAGACCCGAGAAGGGTTTATTGGAGCATCTGTTGCTACCATAGTGTCCGCATTTCTGGTAAACATATTATCACTTAGAAACTATAAATAATTTGAGATAGGAATGTAAAAAAGAATAATGTAACTTGTATAATTGTTATGTCCAAGAATTACAGAAGGAAGACTCTATTTATGGGATTACAATTAACTAGAAAGAAAATTCACTACACTAGCTATGCAATCAAACTAACAGGCATATAATCAAACGAGATCCAAAAATATAATAATCATATAGAATTACAGCATTGTGGAAAGGTATTTATGGGAATGTCACGTTTGATATGCAGCTTGCAAATATTCTCGGCCGTTTTCAATGGTTGACATGCCCAAGAAAGGTAATTCTTTTATAGGGTTTGTAACAAAATAAGATGGAGCTGCGGAGAATTACTGTCTAGGAAATGACTGCAGGATCTATCAACTGGTTGGCTTCAGTGCGATCCGGGACCACTGTTCAAGCCGGAGTATTATACTTTACATGCATGGATTCCTCAGTGGGTAAGTTGATCTTCAAATTTTGTAACAGAGTTCTTACCATGGTCAATACTGAATAGATATTTCGTGGAATTTCTCCAGTTCCCATGGAAGGAAATCTCGGTCTTGCCCGTCCAGTGGCATGCTTTATGCCTAGGTTTATTTGCATCAATTATAGCACCTTTTGGAGGATTTTTTGCTAGTGGTTTCAAGAGAGCCTTTAAGATCAAGGTGCAGATTCATTTCATTTTCTGAAGTAGGATAAACAATTACTTCCATTAACTCTTCCTTTTCAACATATAATTTTCCAGGATTTCGGTGATATCATTCCTGGACATGGTGGTTTCACAGATAGAATGGATTGCCAGGTAGGCTGCTCAAACTCAGACATTCTTGTTCCGATGCCTGAAAGGTGGCATTTACTGATTTCTTTTAAGCAGCAGTAAAACCGTGTTGCGACTGAAAAAAGGTTAACACGATATGTACATCTTTAAGTGATACAAAGGTGTACTTTAAAGTAAAATTTCGTAGTCTTTTCTGTAAATTCTTCACTTGATTTTGGGAAGTTATCAAGCTAACAGATCTTTTAATAATAGTAGTTATGGTGCTAGTTTATTTTAATTCCTGTGTTTCAAATAATATAGTTACGCAACCCCTAATGTTGCAACCTAGCAAATGATATTTATTTTCCTTTTTCACCACGCCCATCATCATTCCTTAAGATGGATAGATGATTTATTACACAACTAACATATTTTTCATATACACCCAGATGGTTATGGCCATATTTGCCTACATTTATCATCAGTCATTTATCATCCCCCAAACCAACACGGTCGAGATGATCTTGGATCAGGTTAGTAACTCATGATCATAACTTACCAAAGAGTGGAGAATCAGTTCTATGTCCATGTACTGCAGAACTCTATGTTACACAGAATCGACTAATTTCATGAAATTTATCCATTGCAGATAGTAAGAAACCTCAGCTTCGAGGATCAGGAAGTACTCTATTTGAAGCTAGGCCAGATATTCCAATGAACAGAAATTTGGTAATCGTTGAGACAAATTTTTGGCGGCCGATCACCAATTCATGAAGAGCTTTACCATACCTCCAACGGCACAACTCCTGGAAATCTGGTGAATGCTTACAAATCTCTTACTTGTGTTTTGCAATTGCCTTTACCAGATTTAGGAAAGAAGGGATGAGACATAATTTGTAAAAACAGCATTTTTTTTTTTCATTCCTTTTAATATCGACCCATTTTTTGGGGGATTGAACATACTAGGATGTCTCCCAAAAAAATCACTCAATTTGAAAAATGGCAGAGGAAAATACCAAGGGGAGCTTTTGTACCTTGAAAACTAGTTTAGGATATTACATATTGTTATTTGATTACAGCTCAAAAATACAAAGATCAGGTCTAAACATGATGGACATGGTATAAATTATTGGAAAAAGTTTAATAAGATGTTAATTTTTTTTAAATCTCTAATATTATTCATTACTATAATATCATCTACTTACCAAACAACGGCATTTGCCGATGGTTTGTCATGAATGATAAGGTACATATCATCATTCATACCCATTACCGAGATAGTATTGCATGAAATATAACCTTATATGATCATTTGTTTTGAGTATATGAATTATCTTAAAAGGTCGGTCTTTTCAAGTGTAGTAAAGTTTGATTAACGTTCTTATATATAACCGACATGAGATTTTACTCGTTAACATATCTCCTCAAGATCGTGACTCATTTCCGATTGCAAGTCTGAGCTATTAATGGATCTAATGACTCTGTTTTACACTATAAGCTTTGATATCATGTTAATACTTTAGCTTCCATCCTAAAATGTCAATTCCGTTAAGAAGAGTAGCACAAACCTTTTAGTGTTGAAGAGCTTAGAAATTTTGTTCGATCCATTCTTCACACTTGTGGCACCTCTCCACATTCTGATGTCACTAGAAGATGATCTTACACCATTTACTCTGATAGTGCTCATCACACAATTTCTTTCTCAGAGGTATCAAAGGGTTATATTTATTGACCCCACTAATATGATAAAGTGAGCCATGAAGACCGGAGTTTTTATCAACGAAGAAGAGACATGGGTGAATTATTTTACTTATAATGGAATTTTTGTTTATAAAATATTTTTTAATTAATATTATTTTTAATTTTTGCGCTACTTGTTATCATAAGTGAAATTTTTAGTATTTATTTACCTGTAAGTAAATCTACTCATTTTAATTATCTATTTTTTTCTTAATTCACTAGATCGACCTCATATAGTGTATTAATTTCATATGATTGATTAAAAGAGGATAAACAACCAAGATTAATTTCATCCATGTAATAATACACCTAATGTCAAATAAGAATTAAAATAATTATAATCAATCTAACAACTCTTTCCAATCGTGGCACGACTGTTAAGTGTAATTAGAAATTAGTGCACGTTTGGAAAGTGATTAAATTACAATCACTTCAGATCAAATATAATTTTTGTTAACATTTACTACCTAGTTATTATCTGCACATTCGGTAAAAATTTTAAAATTTACCCACTTCGCAAACATGCAATTGTGTCAAGCTGCGATGCTCCTGATCCTAATATATAAATCATAGTTGATCCCCAAACTTTCTTTAAATTTAAATCTTTATTACAATTCAGTCACTGAATTTACCGTCGTCAAAATCAACATCCTAGAAAAGCTGTTTCTCTACATTTTCCGCCAAACACAAGATAATGTAGGTCTTGTTGATAAGACACTTGAATGTACTGCACGGCAACATTTTTAGATTTCTACCCTAGATGTTCACAACATTCGGCGACATCAATCGTAGCTAAGAAACGCAGCACAAACGGAACATAAAGCTAATTGAAATAAGGAACGTCGTCTTCTTCCACGATGAGCACTTCTTGAATATTTTGTGTATGGGGGCAATGTAAAGAGACTTTCTCAGCCTTCAGATCATTTATCTGCATCCACATTGTCCACTGCTACTGTCACACCAACTTCCGCAGGCCGTATAACTCGGTCATGGAGCATGTATCCAGCCTGCATCAGGAACATAAAGAATCTGGTTGGTTCAGCTTAGGAAACATAAATATTGACAATCTTTTTCCAATTGGTGGCTATATTATAAAAATGGAGAAAAAATCACCCAACCTCCATGTGGAGAAATTTTATATATATATAAACTCTATCTCGATCCCAACCATCGATTTTATCCTCCAAACAGACAAATGAAAGTCTGCATCTAAGACGATGCTTACACAAAAAACGTATCCAACTGTTTATTTTTTGTAAAATAATTCTCTACTTTTTAATAAACCTGGAGATTTAGCCCCTGGGACCAAACAGGGGCTTATTAAGATCACTGTAAATAAGAGGTATACAAAATGTACATACCTTTAGAACAACTGCAACATGGTTTGCTGGCTTTGAAGCATCTGGTACTTGGAAAACAGCATTATGCCTGTTTGGATCGAATTCTTCATTCATAACATCATATTTCTCTACTCCAAACTTTTTGAATACCTGGAGATAACAAGCATGTGATTTCACCAGTAAACAAATGTTGATCACAAGGCTTCTCACCATATGACTCAATTACATGATACTACAACTTGTGAGGAAACACTAGAATCCAATCAGTATGTCAGATCAACCATGTTAGAAATGCATCTGAAGAAGATGAAGATAACCAAAACAATTTGATTACTACACGTGTGTTTGCAGTACCAGTGTCGATTGAGCATTAGCAGACAATGTGCACACTCTCAGTACAAGATGGTACAACTAGTTTAATTCTTCCATCAATATTTATCCAATGCAAAAGCATGCATGGTAGCTTTTCATTATATTTTCTCATGATCAATTCTCTGCCAAATTACCATGACGCATTTTGTTTATGGGCTCTTACTTCTAACTATTATTATTCACTCTGTCTTCGCAAATAACAAATAGATCAACACTTTTTATTGGTTGCATTTGTATGATTATTTGTGTGTGCATCTGTTCATAAACGGAAGAATTCAGAAACCATTCATGTCTTTATGCCACTCTGATAAAGAAGCAATCAGCTTATCATGATATATTACAAGTGTCAATATAAAATTAGAAATACAAGTGACTATTCATAAAAATGTTGACCATTCATGCTAACAAATCCAGTTGGTACCCAAGATATGCATGTAACAGTATTAAGATGAACCCAAAGGTGATCCATGGAATTTGCTACTCTGATTTTTATAAATTTGAGTTTAACATATTAGTCTGCCTAAAATACAGTATTATCAGCAGGTCACACATCATAAGGAAAGAAAGAGGATACAGCTAAGACCCGAAATATAATACCTCTATTAGTTGTTTTTCAGTCATCTCGACACCTTCAAGAAGTGTTTTAAGTTGTGTAACGGCTCCAGGAGCACCATTGGAAGTTTCGATCTTCGAAAAGCTCTCTTTTGCAGCAGATGAAGCCCTACCCAAGTTATCCGCCACATCCAAAAGGCTCTTTGCAAAATTCTGCAGCAAAATTCAAATTTCAAATTAATACTTGAGTAAGAATCAAACAAATGGCACAATGAACTGAAAGGATATTAAGGAGGCGCCTGTAGGTCACCCGGACAGCATTAATACTAACTGAAATACAAATCCATAAACCTGAATGGCAAATTTCTTAGCATTGTCTGCTTCACGTTTAGTACGGTCCTTCACATTCTCCATCTCTGCAAGAGTCCTCAGAACCTTATCCTTCATTTGCTCATGCTCAATCTGCTTGACTTTCAGAAGTTCTTCCTTCTCAGCCAGAAGTTTCATCAGGTCATCTCTTGAAAGGTCACTCTCCAAATCTGAATCAGAATCAGAAAATGCAAGTCGTTTAGTTCCTCTCTTCCTCCTTTTCACAGATCCAGATGTGTTAGATGGAGGTTTCATTTTAAGACCTGATTCATCTTTCTGGTCTGACACAGATGCTTCTGACTGATCAGGAACATCTACAGCAGCAGCATTAGCACCGTCATCTCTCTTATTTTCTTGTTTGTTTTCAGATTCAGCATTTTCCTTCTCATTTGGATGTGGGGATGCAGATGACGAGAATCCAAACCACTGAAAGGTGGATGAATTTAGAGTTGAATGGCCTAGCAGAGACACCTGAACAGAGACCATCTACATTAGAAAAACATGGCCTTGGTACTCATTCTTTGACAAGCAACAATTTTATTGCATTAGAGTAAGAAAGAAAAAAGACTAATGTAAAATTCAGAACAGGTGCTGACGGCAGGTGGCTGATTCTGCACAGATTCCACCTAAGCAGACACCAGATGTTTGTCATCTATGAAAACTAGCCAAACCGACAATACATTACGTCATTGGGCTAGGAACAAACTCACGTCAAGAAAATTGAAGCCGTCCATGTCCAGAAAGAAAATCGATTAACAGAGAGCAAAATGCCAACATAGTTAAGAAAAAATCGTGAACAAAGGTAGGACCAAAACAAAAGTCTCAAGACTGGAATGTATTTTAATCCGGTAGTCACGTAAGATATACAACTTCACAGCAACCTAAACCTCCACCAAAACCACGGAGTAAAAGTCTAAAACCTTACAATTGATTATTTTCACCAAATTACCCGAATTGCGAACAATGTGCTCAAATAAACTTGTTTTTGAAATAACAGAGGAACAAAGACTTGGTACTCATTCTTTGACAAGCAACAATTTTATTGCATTAGAGTAAGAAAGAAAAAAGACTAATGTAAAATTCAGAACAGGTGGCTGATTCTCCACAGATTCCACCCAAGCAGACACCAGATGTTTCTCATCTATGAAAACTAGCCAAACCGACAATACATTACGTCATTGGGCTAGGAACAAACTCACATCAAGAAAATTGAAGCCGTCCATGTCCAGAATGAATATCGATTAACAGAGAGCAAAATGCCAACATATTTAAGAAAAAATCGTGAACAAAGGTAAGACCAAAACAAAAGTCTCAAGACTGGAATGTATTTTAATCCAGTAGTCACGTAAGATATACAACTTCACAGCAACCTAAACCTCCACCAAAACCACGGAGTAAAAGTCTAAAACCTTACAATTGATTATTTTCACCAAATTACCCGAATTGCGAACAATGTGCTCAAATAAACTTGTTTTTTGAAATAACAGAGGAACAAAGACTCAACAAAGTATTGAACATTCACTTTCATTAGCACCGTAATCACCAAAACAATAATATAAAAACAGTTCAATTACGAATCTCAAAATTATACCACTATATCTTCTCTGGAGAAAAACCTACCAACCAAATTAGGAAATGGAACTATACCTGCAGACTGTGATAAGCCCTAGCAAAACACTGAGGCTGACTGTATAGGAAAACAAAAACAGTAGTACCTTTTCCTGAGAGCCCGTGGGGGAGAGGAATTGATTCGAGATAATCCGAAAGTACATCTGGTCATGGCGATCGCAGAGGAGTTGCGAGCTGCGGCACTGAGTCAACACGGTCCTGGAAAACCGACTCGTTATTCTGCCAAGCGACATGGCTGCGAGGCCCTGGATTATCAAAACTTCCCTGGGATGGAGAAGAAAATAGAGAAAAGTAATGGCAGTCAATGAATGAAGAAGAAGGCAGGGTTTTAGGAGGGTTTAGAGTAATTACGAAATGATAATAGGGGTAATATCGTCTCTGTAAATTACCGATTCAGTGAAGAGGTTTAGAAGTATCCAGAAACTTGTAAGATGAATTCTAATCAACTAACGATTCAGTTTATTTCCAGTCCTAAACGGAGCTATTACTAGATAAATAGAAAATTAAAACGAAGTAATAAACCAGCACCAGTGGTCTAGTGGTAGAATAGTACCCTGCCACGGTACAGACCCGGGTTCGATTCCCGGCTGGTGCATTATGTACAAGAGGGGCAGTGACGATTTGTCTTGCGCTTAAGTGGGACTTTGGGGTCTCCACGTATGTCTGATATATACACGGACGAAAAAAATGCGTAATCTGAGCCCTTCTACATTTTATTTTTATTTCGTCGATGGGAAAAATTTGCACAAATATATTTGGTAAGGTTGATTGAATGAAATTAGACCCGGGTTCGATTCCCGACTGGTGCAATGTAAAAGAGGGGCAGTGATGATTTTGTCTTGCGCTTAAGTGGGACTTTGGGGTCTCCACGAACGTCTGATATATGGACGAAAAAAATGCGCAATCTGAGTCCTACATTTTGTTTTTATTTCGTCGATGGGAAAATTTTGCACAAATATATTTGGTAAGGATCGATTAACAGAGAGCAAAATGCCAACATATTTAAGAAAAAATCGTGAACAAAGGTAGGACCAAAACAAAAGTCTCAAGACTGGAATGTATTTTAATCCGGTAGTCACGTAAGATATACAACTTCACAGCAACCTAAACCTCCACCAAAACCACGGAGTAAAAGTCTAAAACCTTACAATTGATTATTTTCACCAAATTACCCGAATTGCGAACAATGTGCTCAAATAAACTTGTTTTTTGAAATAACAGAGGAACAAAGAGTCAACAAAGTATTGAACATTCACTTTCATTAGCACCGTAATCACCAAAACAATAATATAAAAACAGTTCAATTACGAATCTCAAAATTATACCACTATATCTTCTCTGGAGAAAAACCTACCAACCAAATTAGGAAATGGAACTATACCTGCAGACTGTGATAAGCCCTAGCAAAACACTGAGGCTGACTGTATAGGAAAACAAAAACAGTAGTACCTTTTCCTGAGAGCCCGTGGGGGAGAGGAATTGATTCGAGATAATCCGAAAGTACATCTGGTCATGGCGATCGCAGAGGAGTTGCGAGCTGCGGCACTGAGTCAACACAGTCCTGGAAAACCGACTCGTTATTCTGCCAAGCGACATGGCTGCGAGGCCCTGGATTATCAAAACTTCCCTGAGGATGGTATTACGAAATGGCTGCAGGGTTTTAGGAGGGTTTAGAGTAATTACGAAATGATAATAGGGGTAATATCGTCTCTGTAAATTACCGATTCATTGAAGAGGTTTAGAAGTATCCAGAAACTTGTAAGATGAATTCTAATCAACTAACGATCCAGTTTATTTCCAAGTCCTAAACGGAGCTATTACTAGATAAATAAAAATTAGAACTAGGTAATAAACCAGCACCAGTGGTCTAGTGGTAGAATAGTACCCTGCCACGGTACAGACCCGGGTTCGATTCCCGGCTGGTGCATTATGTAAAAGAGGGGCAGTGACGATTTGTCTTGCGCTTAAGTGGGACTTTGGGGTCTCCACCAATGTCTGATATATGGACGAAAAAAAGGCGCAATCTGAGTCCTCTTGCATTTTATTTTTATTTCGTCGATGGGAAAATTTTGCGCAAATATATTTGGTAAGGTTGATCGAATGAAATTAGATTGCTTTTAGAATAATCTCAACTTCTCCAAATCAGAATTATTATTATCATTATTATTTTATTTTTTTTTTCAAAAATCTCAAAGAGGATACCATTGCGTGTTGAAAACCATTCGGGCGTAATATTTTGGCAAAGAATACCATGGACGTGAGGCCTCCATGTTTGGCAGCCGTTATAGAATGTTTTCCGAGAAGTCATAACCCAATTGAATGCAACTTGGTACAAAAGGATGAAACTTACAATAAAGCCATGTTTGTCACCCATTTTTTAAAATTTATTTTTCCTCAAATTCATTTTCAACCGTACATTTCATCAATTTTTATCAAAATTCATTAAAAAAAAATGAGTTTTAACTAATTAACAAGGGGGCTAAATGAAAAAAACCCAAAGTTCCATTTGTACAGCACAGCCTTAATATTGTACAAATTTGCTCACTAGGAGCCTCAAATAATATAATTAACTCATGGTATAGAATTCAAACGAGAACGTATATATAATGAGCTACACTCCCTGAAAAGCATTGGTTCATCCCTAACAGTATGGATTCCAGAAATTCCTTAAAGTTCAGGGATGTCATATCCAAGCATTTCATCAACAGCTTGTATCATTTTTTTGGTTTCAAAATGTCTGCCTTGGCTCTGAAAAGCATTGGTTCATCCCTAATCGTACGGATTCCGGAAATTGTTTAAAAGTTCAGGGATGTCATATCCGAGCATGTCATCGACAGCTTGTATCATTTTAGGTTTCAATTTCTCAAACTTATCGATGCTATATCCGCTCAAAACCTCCTTAAAGTGTTCGACGTGAGGGAAATCCCCAGCCGGTAGATGGTGTTCCCTTTGAACCTGCATAGTCGAGAAGTCAAAACATTATGATTATGCTCGATGTATAATCTCACATAATCGTGCAAAACATAATGTAAAGAAGCACAGACGCCTCTGTGTAGAGGGAGAGAAAAAGAACCTTAGCAAATTCATCAGCCAGATTATCGATGAGTCTCTGCTGAGTCTTAGCTTTGCCCATCATCGCAGGCATTTCCCTTCTCAGGTGACTGATAATATAAGCATGTATCTTGGCGGCCCTAGCACGCTTTACAAATTCATTTATCTGCATAAGAAGGAACATAAGAATCTCTTTTACCTCGTTTTACATAACAAAACATGATAAACTGCAACACATATATAAGAACTCCATAATATGATGATCTGAGACTCACACGACGATCACAAGCCTTCTTTGGTATGTCTTTCAAATCTGTAAGAAGGTTGTCCTGTTCTTTCTCAAAAAGTTCTTTCCCAATTGGACCAGCAGCAGCGTCGTTAATAGGCTTGTCATTAAAAGATCTGTCAAGCCAACAGAAGAGTTGTTTTAAAAAATAAAAAATGTAAGAAGAAAAATAGAAAATATAATTAATAGTGATAGAGGAAAGGAATAAGAGTAGGAGCAGCAGCAGAGAAAAAATAAATTAAAAAAATAATAATAACTAACAGATAGTTTCAAATCAGACTTAGGGGGTGGCTTATTTTTAATGTGCACACTTTTGGAGCTTATTTTTTAGTATAAGCCACCCCAAACATGCTTTTAACCTTAGCAGTCCTCAACTACTTGGAATGAGGTTTCATCAAAAGAACATGAGTTTTTTCATCAAAAATGAATTATTGAATTATCAGAACAATATTTTAATAATAAAAAGATTATTATAGTCTAAAGAAATAATGGAAGGCATATAAAAACATGTACGAGGTGTTGTCTGCATATTCATTACATCAAGTTTTACATCCACGCTCGAGTGCGTTGGAGCAGATCGAAGGAAGGAAGCCATATTCTTGAGAATCATCAAATGAGGAAGAGCAACACGAGTGGAAGAGCAAAAAGATCCCTTCTCCAACACGGGGATAACTGAGAGTTTTAGGTATGCAAATACAAGAGCCTAAAAGCTGTGTCCTGTCTTTCAAATCTGTAACTGGTCAAGTTTTTGGCCCTAGGCTTTCAATGCGCGCCCGATAAAAATTCTAAAATCCAAAGCGGATATGGTTTGTAACCAAGTGACATTTTTAACTTCAAAAATAGTGCTATATGAAAAGAAAAAATTATTACCCACTTAATACTGATTACACAATAAACATGTAAAATTGAGCATACCCAATATAAACACGCATGACCTCAGGAGTATTCAGCACTTTGCCTAGGGACCACATTAACGCTCCATATACCCGCATAAGCTGTAATTGATGGCCAACTGGTAGAATTAAATAACTTGAACATATGTGATTTTCCTTGTGATAGTTGAGGAGTAATGAACAAACACAGGTGCAAAAGAAACAACAAAACAATTTCTCTTACTTGCTGCGTATCAACTTGGTCAGCCTTGTTCAAAACCACGCGTATTTTATCATCATGACCCCGTAAAGATGCAATGACACGTCTGAATTCATCACTTATATCAAGTTTGTGGGGGTCAAACAAAAGCAGGATGAGGTCGCACTTTGCAGCAAACCAGGATGTTACACCAGTAAAGTCATAGCTTCTTTGAGTTCGTTGTTTTTCTCCTGATAACACTCCAGGAGTATCCACGAAAGTAATATGTTCCAGCAGCTTTTAGAATTCAAAATACGAATAAATTTTAGCAGGAACAGAAGAAAGCTAAGAATTTTCTCCTGACGCTCTTAAAAAGCCAATTAAAACGAAGCATCTAACTCACAGGATGTGGCATTTGAGAACACTCAAATTTTGACAGAAATGCAGTTCCAAAAGTTGTCAGACCACTAAAAGGCATATCTGCTTGAACAGCAATTGTATTCCCTGGAACACTTCTTTCATCTGGTCCATTCTGTATTAAAAACGATTCAGTAGCGAACACTGGCAGACCAAAAGATCCATTTACGAGCAGAAGCACAGAAAAAAATAGGAAAAAAATAGAGAGAGAGAGAGAGAGAGAGAAAAAAAAAAAAATGAGAGAGAGAGAGAGAGATTAAAAAAGAACCATGTGATAGGTACCAACACAGATTATGAAGCAAAAGAACAGAAACTAAAATTTGTATTTAAGCTACTGAATGAACTGGAAAGGAATTACAAGGTTGATGAGCATTCTAGAGGCTCATCTCTCGCCCAACTTGTCCCCATAATTCAGCAAGCCCTCACAGGCTACCCATCCTTTACCCAAAAAATCATTTTAAAATATCAAATGGTATGTAGATATAGATTGGTATCAAATATCAAAAAGACAAAAATCTAGAGGACTTTTTCTAAGTTATTGGAACTTATTCATGATTAATTGCATGATAAGGCATTCAAAATAAGACAGGAAAATCCAAAAGTACCATGACAACGACAAATCTATCTGTTGTAGGCTCTGGTCCAATGTGAGCTCCTGTGAAAAATAATAACATAAAAATAACAACCTAGTTAATGAAAAGAAATTAAAGATACATGCTCCCACCAAAGCAATCGTTTATAAAAACGGAAAGAGAGCTGTTAACATACCTGGATAACTAGTTTTGAGCAAATGTTTAATAAATGTTGTCTTCCCAGTGGAGTACTGACCCAAAAGCATCACCATTGGTTTAGCATCAAAGTCACTATTTGCCTTCCAATCAACAATGCAATAACAGAGAGTTAACCAACGACTAATCAATTTTCATAACAATAGATCATCAACATTAGAAAAAGCAAAAATATGATCAAATTCTATCTACCTGAGAATTCTCAGAATGAAGAAAAATGCAATACTTACCAGTAAGGGCGAAACAAAATCATTAAATTGGTAAGTAACTTCCAGTGGCTTCAGCTTCTGAACATACAATCTTTTCAAACCATCAATTATCGATGTAACAGAGGCCAAGGATACCTGACACAATAATTGAGAAGGAATCAAAGAGATAATAAAGACACAGTTACATCTAGGAAATGTATAATAAAACCGGTGGAAAGAAGGGTAACATGAATGGAAAAACTAAACCTATGAAAACAAGGGGCAGTACACATTCAAATTGAACACCAACATATTGAACTATAAACTTGCTGTCAGTTTTCTTCTAAAAAATGCATGAAATCAAACGAGGGAGGTCACAAGAACTGTGAACTCAAGCAATTGGAACAATAAGAGAGTTTTTAAGTGTCAAGATATTTAAGTTAGAAACAACTCAGTCTGTCACTCAATACCAGGTATAGATCAACAAAACCTTGCCGATCCCAACAAAGAAAGCAAAATTGTGACTAAGGATGACAATATAGCCTAAAAGAAGGAATTGATAGAAGTTTTGATGGATAAATGTATTGATGCAAACAAAAGAAGGTTAAAATTTCCAATTACATGCCAGCTTACCTTCTTTGCAGATTTTGAAGAAGTAAACCAACTAGCTGATGGGGATGATTGCACTTGAGGATTACCTGAATTATAGCAAATTAGTATACAAACACTGTGAAAGTAAACAACAATACTCTTTTAAATGAAATATCATCTGTCTTACCATTCTGTTCGGGTTCACTTTTAGGTATATGCTTTCTCTTCTACAAAAAATAATAAAAAAGTTATAACACGCCTAACATTTGAACACTAATTGAAGTATAGAAAAAACATGTAGTAGACTTACAGCTAGGAGAACATCCAGTCCTTCCATGGCTGGAGGTTGTAAATTTTCAAATTCAACTGCAGTTGATTAAAATATTTAAACCATTGCAACGTCGCCTTCTAACACAAATACACAATTTTAAAGAAACAGAAATATCAAGCAAAAGAACCTAATACTCTGCTTATTACCTTCAGTGTTTAGAATATCACCAGTTATCGCATGCCCAGCTTGTGCCAAGGAGACCAGCTACAAGTTAGAATGCTAAGATAGATCAGACTCTAAATAATGATCATTATAGCAGAACACCAATCAAGCAGAGATATCAACCTGCATTGAAGTGATAAACTCTTTAAAACCAAGAAAACCTTGCCTTTTCGAATCTGCAATTGCCCACACCTGGTGGAATAGAAGAAAAGCAAACCCCTTTATTTATTATCCAACATAAATAATCAAAAACAATATGAAGATAAAGCATGTTTGGCTATTTTTAGAAGTTACTATCTATAAAATTACTGCTTACTCTCTAGAAAGATTTGTTCGGTTAGAAAAAAATGTCATTTTGGGTGTTTAATTGATAGATTTCCAGTTCAAAATTCGAGAATTTCAAAAGGGCTATGAATTTGCACGATCACTTAGAAATTCTACCGAAAGCATCCCAATAACTCTGTAATACTGGGCATCATATTTAAAGCTCCACTCCACATTTCATTTTACAAAGGTAATTTTTTAACCCGTATTCAAACTAAAAAGTACCAATAATAAACGTTGTGAACAATAATATTAACAAGGAAGCAGTTGAGGCTAAAATTTATTCATTCTGAATTAACAAAATGAATTACGAACTACAGAACCTGCTTGAGATCTTGACGAGACACGTTGGACATGGCAAAGAAATTTGTAGCATCGGCTCCAGTCAGACGCCCATCTCCATCTGATTGTACGAATTCATTAGCAGCTTATTTTAAAGCCAAATATTAAATTTGATTGAAAATACATAACTTAGTACCTGAATCAGCGAAAGAAAACCATTCTTGATAGATCTTCTGGTGCTCTTTCGAGCACCGACTAATCGAAGCCGAATCAATCTCCATTTTCGATCTGAAAAATTCCCCAAAATTACCTTATTCTGATTTGAATTTCAGAACGTTTGGAAGTTTTTGGAAGTTTAAAATTTGTGAAATTATTTTTTAGTCACTCTGCCTTCGGTTTTGGGGGAAAAACCCAGCCGTTTTGTGGACATATGGGCCCGTTTGAACTGATTTTTCATTTCAAAAAATTGATTTTTTTAATGTTATTTCATGGAATTACTCCAGGGTAATTTTTTATTTGAGAAAAATTCATATCTAAGTTGTATTGTTTATATCAATTCACAAATCAGGTACAAAGTTCAAAAATTCAAAATTCAGATTTCTGTATAATTAATTGAAAATATTTATTAATTAAATATATTAAAGTCACAGCTACACGATTAATGATCACAAATTCATAATTATTAGTCACAAATTTACCTATTGATCACATATCGTCGAATTAATTGGTTATAGATTATTTCGAGTTTACAAATCAAAAATTTTGTAGGTCACAGATTATTTTAAGGTTACAGATCAATAATTTACAGGTCACAAATTATTTCATTAGTCACGGATAAAAAATTTTGTAGGTCACAGCTTACATAATTGGTCACAAATTAAAAAAACTATAAGTCAAAGGTCACACATTTTCAAATTTGACGTTCACGAACTACTTTTTAATGACAAATGATCGAATTTTAATGTCACAGTTTACAGTCATAGTCACATAAGGGACCAAATAGTTGGTCACAGACATTCAACATCCAATTCTGACACCACCACTACCACCACCAACAACACTAACAATTGGTCACGAGTCAACTGGTCGGTCACATACCACCATCAACTCCACTACCGGCACCGCCACTTACAACAACCCTCACCGTCACCACTGCCACAACCACAACACCACCACCACTTCACCACCAACAAAATCGTCGCCACCAGAAACCACCACGACCGCCTCCACCAAACACATCAATAATACCCAATTTAATGGTCACAGTCGACTAAATAATTTGTGACTACCATCAACGCTTGTGACCACCACCTCAAAAGCCCCCAATAGCACCACCGTCACCGTTGCTGCGAAAACCACCATCACCTACAACAAATCTAACACATTGTCAAAAAAAATAAAAAAAACCACCAAATCGTCACACCAGATTCACTGTCACTTCACCACCACAACCACCAACAAACCACCATTTTCAACTACAAAATCACAACCTATCAACACATCCATGCCAGATTCACCACCACCAACAAAAGCCACCCTACCACTAGATCTACCACCACTCTAACACCACCGCACCCAAATAATTGGTCACAACCATAGTCAATCGCCACCACAAACCATAGTCAATCACCACCACAAACCATGTGGATATAATGCACCGAGAATTTATCAAAAGCACGAGAAATTTACAAAATAGCTCATCATCTGAAAGGCTGCACAGGTTTCGTCTCTTCGAGGAGTACAGCTGCCTCAAAACATTCAGCGGCCTCCAATGCCAATGCCCCACCCTCATCCTTGTAAAGGATGTCAACATTTTACCATGCCGAAGTATTCATTCTGTCGAGTCTTAGTGCTTCTGTTAGAAGGCTCCGGACAATGGTCGAACACTGCCTGCAGATTTGTCTAAGAAGCACTGCTTTGCAGACTAGACTGAGGACGTGCGTTGGATCAACATCTCCGTTGCACTCTTGTAGGGACACCGGTCTTCTTGCAGCAGCGCCGGTCTCGCATCGGAATCAGCGCCAGTCTTTAGAGGGTCGTCGCTACAGTGCGATGTGCTATCGGCAAGGAATTTTTCAACGGAGATTGTGATGGAGAGAAGGGAGAGACAGAGAGAAGAAATGGTAGAGAGAGAAATTGTAAGGAAAAAATTGATTAGGGTTTGGAATAATTTGGGGAAATATTTAATATTTAATTATTATATTGATACTTGATTTATGAATAGTGAAACTTCAACCCTGATTTTTGAATTGTGATCTTTAAACACCTGGAATTATGTAATTTTCCCTTTTTATTTCTTCTCTCATATGTGGATCCCACTTTTCTCCTAACGGTTAAAAAATCAATTCTCAAAATCACTATCGAACAGGCCCATGATCTTTTCATGCATAAATAATTAAATAATTTTATTTCTATTTACAGATGATTTATTTCTATTTTGTGAGAAATCTTCATAGAATAGGAGAATCACTACTATCTTAAAAGAGCCAATACGCCATTTACTATTCATTTTTGAAGTATTTTCATTTCCCATTTTGTCCTTAAACAATTAACAAAATCTCTACTCTTTTTCAATATGCCATTTATATTCATTTTTGAAGTATTTTCATTTCTCATTTCACTACTATCTTAAAAGAGTCAATATACCACTTATTATTTATTTTTAAAGCATTGTCATTTCCCATTTTGTTCTCAAACAATTAACAAAATCTTTACTCTTTTTGAATATGTCACTTACTATTCATTTTTGAAGTATTTTCATTTCTCATTTCACTACTATCTTAAAAGAGTCAATATACCACTTATTATTTATTTTATATATATATATATATATATATATATTTAAGAAAATGATGTAAATTGTATTAAGAAAATTGTAGCAAAAAAATAATTAATATTAATAAAATAATTAATTTTTTAAAGGAAAAATGATGAGTTATATGCATTTTTTAAATCATTCGATATGTCTATGATATAGTTCTCGAAATGAATTTCGAGAGAATATAAAAGATTTGTAAAGATTTATGGTAGATTTTTATAAATAAAAAAACCCAAATAAATCACCCAATGCAAAAAAAAAAAAAAATTAACACAAAAAAAATATCAATCACTCAATGAAAAAAAATAACAAAAAAATGACACTAAGCATCATTTAAAAAAAATTGTGTCACGGAGCAACTTCGTGTATCACAGAGCATTTGCTCCATGATGCACGGAGAAAATTGCTCTCGGGTGCCAGGAGCAAATTAATTGCTCCGTGATGCACAGGGCATTTTCGTAATAATTTTTTCCCTTTTTTTTCTTGGTGATTGATATTTTTTTTTATTCAAATCTATCTTACCCTTATAACGTGATACGGAGTATGTTGAATCACGTATATTATTTATTTCTTAAAAGCAGTTGCCATAAATGAAAGTAAAACTTAACACAATGTTGAAAAAATTTAATGCTCAATCAAAAAAATGTCGATTAATTTATTTGACGATATTGAATATTTTAGATGTATATAAATTTTGGAGGATTAAATCAAATATATCAAAATTGGGTGATTAAATAAAAATCTCAACCACATTTAAGTGATAATATTATACTGTGGCTCAGCTTGTGTTAGGCTCCAATATATTTTTATTTTTTTTCATTTTCAATAGCAGAATCTTTGATAAAGTAGTATTACATATAAATAAATTTTTTCTCATTAAATTGATTGGATATTGAACAATAAAAAAAGATTCGATTAATTACACGACTTAATTATATTGAATATAGTCATCATCAAATACGTCATTTATATATAAAATAACCAGTCAAACTAAAATAATGTTTGATATATAAATTATGAGCTCCGAATTGGGTTTTTAATCCATGCATCAAGGGAGCATTTATCCTATTTCTAGAAAATACATTTCAATTATAAACACACAAAATTAAGGCCAACTAATTTTTCATCTTAATTATTTTAACATCTGAAAAAAATTTATATATAAAAGAAATTCGATCATTTTTAAGAATTTTTTTCTTATTGTTACTTTTTCCTCGCGATCAATTAATTTTTTAAATAATATAATAAAATTTTTAACGTCATTTAGAAAATTTTCTAATAAACTTTTACATTTTTTTTAATGTCAAAAGAGATATTATTTAAAAAATTAAAAATTTCGATAACAAACTAACTTTAAAAATTCATCGACGATTGTATAGTAGTCAAATGCATAAATCTTCTATATTCTCTCGAAACTCATTTCGAGAACTATATCATAAACATATTGAATGGTTTAAATAAATATTGAAAATAGTTAAACGTATATCAAACATGTGTGTTCAAAAAATGTTATATATAAATTTCGGTAGCTCTTTTTTCATATATCTTATGTGTATTGATTATTTTGGACAAATATGGTCTCTTTTGGCTTCAACTTGAACTCTCAAGTACACTTATGTATATTATCAATTAATAATAGTATATGATGATGCAGAGTGTGTGTCATATATAAAAATTACATTTCCACTTATCATTTATAACAATTAATCAAATTTATAGATTTATTGGGAGAAATGAATAGATATTTTGACACATTAATATTACTTAAAAAATGACATAGCCCGTGCATTGCACGGGTGCAAAACTAGCATATATAGAAATGTTATAAAAAAATGAAGAAAAATATATATAGATGAAACAGTGAGAAGACTCAATCAAATGTTAATTTATGGAGAGAGAATAAGAAAAAAAAAATATTTTTTAGATAAAAATGAAATAGTAATTTCTTGAATAGTAAAACAATACTTGAAAAATTGGATATATAAACATAAGAATAATACTATTTCCAATTTCTCACTACCGTAATCGTTCTACGTAGCATATATGTGACTGTTAGTGATTTGTTGTATAAGATAATAAAATACTGTCATATTAATGTATCAAATTACTAACCATCACATAGATGTCATATAAGACAATTACGACTGCGAGCGACTGTAAATAACATTATTTGTAAACATAATGTAATACAAAAGGTATGTTGTTTGTTTTTTTGCTACAGTTTGGTAGAAGTTAAAATTGAAATTTTAATTCAACTTAAAGCCAACTATTAATTTTGAACTTACGGTTTATGAGATTCGTAATTTCCAATCACATATTTTATCAATTTCTATCAAAATCTGCTAAAAATTTTGACTTTAATTCCCATCAAACATGAGCTTTATATTATATGTATTTTGATCTATTTAACTATTTCGAATGATAAATTTTTAGCAATACACTCTATAAAATGTAGTGTACAAAATGTCAAATTCAATTAAAAAAATACACATATGGTGTATAAAATATAAATATATCCTAAATAGAGGGTGTATTTTATATATTTTTTTAAAGACATTAAATTTTAATAAATACGATTCGCATACGAGTGAAAATGGCTTATGCTAGGTGGGTTGACAATGAATTAATTGTTCCAATGGTCACTAACCTTATGCCCATGTTTTTGATTGGCCACTGAAATTTAAAATATCGAGTTTTGATCACTAAACTTAGCCTAAGTTTTTGATTGCTCATTGAAATTTAAAATGTCGAATTTTGACTACTGAATTTTGAAAAATATCGTACATTACTCACTAGCATAAGTATTGAACTTTAAAAAATATCGGGTTTACAGTAGGTAATGTACAACGTTTTTCAAAGTTTAGCAGTCAAAACTCAACATTTTAAATTTCAATAAGCAATCAAAGACATGGATCTAACTTTAATGACCAAAATTCGACATTTTAAATTTCAGTAACCAATCAAAGACATGTATCTAAGTCTAGCGACAATTGGAACAATTAACTCGTTTTTTTACGTAGAAAGGAAAGTTTTGCCAAAACTAGAAGCAACTTACACAACCTGACCACACGTATCAGTTAGGAGCTGAGTTGGCGGTATAGACCCCAGTTCACAAATTTGTTACAGAAGTCTCACACCATGTGGGGTCGGAATATTTTTTATCATTTTTTTATTACATTGGGCTCCGCAATGGAGCCGACCTTATGTGAGAAATTTGGTTTGATTTTGTAAAATGAATTCTGTATAATTAGAATTACTCATCAGTTAGAGGGAAATTTGAGATAGATTTGTGAGGCTACAATAGAATTTGAAATGGAAACATTGAAATATGTATGCATCTTGTCAAATATATTCAAATTGGTATATGCGTTGATGCATTTTTATTTTAACAACAATCATATTACTTGTACAATGTATTTTACAACTTGATTTACAATGCACAAGTTGACAAATATCACATCCATCTATTTGGAAAACTATTTTTAAGATCAATGGTCAGGATTTGTACAACACGTTTGTTGCCAATCAAGTTGTGCAAGTACATTATACAAGTGGTTTTATTCTTTTAACAAACACAATCTCTTGCTCCTGCCATTTTCTGACTTCTTCACGGGATCCTAAGCCCTGGATCATAACTCAAAAGACCGACTTTAGAAACTTTTTCACACGCTGAACGTGATTTTAACCGCTTTATCTTCACACAACAAGCAATTTATTTCCATTTCTTTTGAGCAAGAAAAGAAATGGGCGAAACTGGGAAAAACCCGAGAAATACTAAGGTGAGATTCATCAAATGCTGGAAGAACTTGAAGAAACTTGTAGCCTTCTTCAAGAAGGCGAGCAACAGCAGCCATATGCACACAGCCTCCATTCCTTTAGCTGATGCTGTTTGGTGCCACGAGCTTTTTAAACTCTCCAATTACGCAAAATTTCGAGGCATGGAAGCTTGTGTTCTTCATCCAGCAATGGCCGACTTTGTAGCCCAAAGTCACTTCTGTATGAATCCCAACATTGGCATGTGAAAGGTATCTACTTCCACGTCCTTATTTCAAAGAGTTCTTTGTTCTGAATATATCTGTATGAAATTGATCTCTTGTCAAAGAGAACCATAAGTTCTCTTCCCACATTAATAGTGAATAATTATTATCCTAATGGGGGGCAGGAGATCAGGGCTGGCATATTTGTATACAGCATTCAAGCTATCTTTCTTGATTTAGTTCACCTCCATACCAAAATCCTGCTATCAAGGGAAATGACCTATGAGAATGCCATGTTCTAACTTCTAATACAACAAGTACCTTTTAGCAAATGGTTGAATGGGGTTGAGCTGATGCAATTTTTATCAAAGTTCACCAACGTATTCTTAAATCACACACGTATACAGGATGACGAATGAAAATTAATCACAGGATAATCGAGTCGTTCTATATAATCAACCATCAAAGAAACCTATGCGTGCAGCCTAATGGCAAATTCTACAATATGAGACAGAGGACAAAAGTACATTCTCGCGCACACTTGCACACAGCTCTTCCCTTTTGACTTCAAGATGCCAGCTTAAAAAAGAATAAATAGGCTGAAACTGGACAAAACCAGATTAACAACCTAATGAATGAGGTACGAATATGACATTTCAAAAGAAATGAATGAAATTCTCATCTGATTCTAGATGCCAATACAGCAACGACTCATGCACCACATAACAAAGCACATAGAGTAGAGATTGATCGTATTGGCAAATCAGCCCAACAATTCCAAAAGCAGTGCACATGATCATGTGGATAAGATGAAGTAATAAACAGTATTGATCTATGAAATAGTGCTGAAATTATCAATATATTCACATGTTTCACATAACACAGAGTGATCGTATATGATACTTACATCCATGACATCCAGCACAAGCTTTAGAAAATGTTATTTGTACATCATTGTGTATATAATGGTATACAGATAAATGAAAAGAGAAAAAAAACAAAAAAAGTAGAGTGGTTGTGCTACATATACATAATAGGTTTACGTATACGTGATTTGGTGATGTGATTGGGCCAAAATTTCTTCAACCATTAAAAAAAAAAAAACATTTCTACTATCCTTTTGACACATGTAAACCATTATATAACTGTTTTATGTACAAGTAGCATTATTCAAAAAAGAGAAGGAAATAAAAGAAATTCAGTTACCATCTCTCCCCCCCATGTCATCTATCTATCTGTACACCATTATAACATTACTCCAATATGGATTGTACTCTGGTTGCTCCTACACAGAAGTACTAGTTTATGCTGCAAGTAAAACAGATGTAAAAGTCCTATACTAATGTGCATATATACGAACTGAGATTGCAACTTATGTAGAAGTTACACGAAGGAAAACAGAACATAAAACACAATGCATGATTGGAATGGCAAAAGTTAAAAAGATACAGATATATATAGAGGCAAGCAAAACTGAAAAAACGTGATGCACACATAGATCGTGCTGGTAAAAGCAAATAAATGTTGATTTCCAGTATAATCCAATTTTGTCGTCATATTCATAATCACATAGATTCTTAATTACAGGTCATTAACGAATCTATGATCAGTTGGCAAATGTTCACAAAAAAGGTAAAGCGAAAAAAACCACAAAATAATAATTACAAGGCATTAATAAATCTACGATCAGTTGACGAATGTTCACAAAACACGCATAACCAACCATACAGGCAGAGATTCTACAGACAGAATGTAAGGTCCTAACGGACATAATAACGACACAATGATTGATAAAATCAAATCATAATGATCAGTCAACCAAGATTCATGGAACATGTAAAAACATACATGCAGTGATTCTCAATGAAGTTACAATCTCAGCGCTGCACAAGAAAATAAGGTAGGTTTGAAAGAAAATAATATAGCACTCTGCTTATCAATTAAAAAGGGAAAAATACTTTTCTTGATAAGAACAGAACCACCAGAAAAAATATTACTCAACAAAATCTAAGGATTCTCAGACAAAGGCAAGTCCCTAAAATCTCACAAGGATCTCACAAGGATGCCAGACCAGGAAAAGAATTAACAAATTAGAACACACTGATCAAGCCGGTTGAAATTCCGCTGTCTAGACCAGATACAGCAATTAGACATTGTAAATTAATAGAAATGCAGATTGTCACATAAACTCATAAAGAGCAAAATTAGAACTCTTTGACAAAGATTCATACTAAAAAAATATGGCTTCAACAACAAACTTCATAAGCATTCCAAAGAAAATCACATGATAGAAGATTAAATATCACAGAAACACATCAAAATATCCATCATAATGTCTCCTACTGTCCATAATATTAAAGTTTATAATTTAAAAAGAAGTAAATTCTCTTCAAACAACAGCCACTCATAGCAGACAGACCATAAGAGGTCCCTTAGTTTTTCTAACACCTTAGTTTACCCTGACTATGAGCATTCATCCCTCCTTCTTTTCTTTTCTTTCTTTTTTTTTTTTTTTTCACTTTTTTCTCCGCAGATAAAAACCAAAATAGGTTAACAGAAAAACAAGAAAATTAAGTAATTTAACCAAATGGGTTCTTCCAAATGATGCGAGCATCACTGGAGACACCTCAGAGCCGGAGGGCCGTGCATGCAAGCTCGTCCACATCAGCGGCATCCACAGGCGGCATCTCATTGAGATCGAAAAGCAGGAGCTTTTTACAAGAAGATGAGGCGATGTCACATTCAGCATCATCAACCACGGAGGAGGAGGAGTCGCAGTCGCTATGACACTCTTCCGGGTCAAACGGCGTCCTGGGGTTACTCCGATGCTGCATGAAAACCGGAGGTGGCGGTGGAAGCTGCCTGGGTCCGCTGAATGACTCAACGGTGCTGCTCATGCTGCTGGAGGTGGGTCTCTGCTGGGCGATGATCTGGTGGTCCTGAGAGTAAAACCGGGGATCCATAAAGGGATCATTAGGGTTATTATTGATCTGTTGTTGATTAGGGTTTCTAGGTTTGAAATTAGGGAAGGCGTTAGCATCTGGAGGTAGGGGGAAGTTTGTCTTGGCTTTAGGTCCACGGAGGGAGAAGGCAGCGGCATCATAGGCCCGGGCAGCTTCAATAGCAGAATCAAAGGTGCCGAGCCAGAGGCGGACTTTCTTCTGTGGGTCTCTGATCTCAGCAGCAAATTTTCCCCACGGCCTTTTTCTCACCCCCCTGAATCTTATCTCATTAGATCCTCCAGATCCATTAGCTTCTCCTCCGTTCACCACCCTCGCCGTCGCCGCCGCTACAGGTGCTTTCCCTTTCCTCATGACCTCAAAATCGAAAGATTCAGGCACAAAAAATAAAAGAAAATCCTTCTCTGTAAAGAGAAAGAATTCAGGTACAGAGAGAGAAAAAGATGAGATGAGATGCCTAAGAAAAATCCATATTTACATAGAAAAATTAATACAGATGAGATTGTGATAATATAATTTTCTCTCTCTACTGTGTGTTGTGTGTCAAACAGGTAGGGGTAGAGAGAGAAGGGAGGCTGAGCGCTCTTTTATTTATTTATTTATTTTTTCCATGAAAATTAATTCTTCTTTTTTCACGCGCTGACACGCACCTAAAGAATCCATCTCTCTTCCGATGCAATAAATAAAAATCGTATATTTTAATTGCATTTTCATTTTACTTTCACACGCTTTATATAAAGAGACCAATATAGCCTTTTGGATTTTTTAATTTTTTTTTTCTTTTGTATTTTGTTCTGAGTATTTTGTTGTTAGGTCAATTTCCATAATTCATAATTCACGTGAAATAGTAGGAAGGGATGGGCATCAATGTTCACCACAGCGCATTAAATAGAGGGATGGAATGACTATTTATTTTTTTAACATTCATTAGAGAGGAAATATATCTTGCTTATTTTTGAATCTGAATATTTTGCAAAATAATGTACTAGAAATATAGTCCATGTTTGCCCCTGTTTGGTTTCCATTATTTTCTCGTTAAAATAAAAAAATGACCGTTATTCATTACATCAAGCCACAAAATTTGAATTTATATCTCTTGTGTGAGGTCCGTAACGACTATATTTTTCATTCTCATTCTTCCAAAAATGAGAAACAAATGGGGGCTTTGTTTCTCATTTTTTCCCCATTAAAATGAAAAATATGACCGTTATCCATAACATCAAGTCACCAAATTTAAATTTTTATCTCTTATGTTGGGTCTATAATGATTATATTTTTCATTCTCATTTTTACAAAAATAGGAAACAAATAGGGTTAAGCATTCGTTAAGTACAGTTACCTATTCCCGATGTGGTTGAATAAAATTTAAGGAGTTTACAAATTTGTGTAGAAATTTAGATTCTGTTGAGATCGAAAAAGATTTTGGTCAAGATGTAGGTAGGAAAGTATCTATCTTTGAGTCTCGTTCTTTAAAAATTCTTTCCTTTTTTTTTTTTTTTTTTTTCACAAATTCATTTTTTTACCTACATTCTTTCAATAAAATAATTACACTCATACTTTTTAACTACTTATTCTTCAAAAAATCACTATTTGCAAAGTTTATTCACCCAAAAATAAGCTCAAATACACTAATATTCAGACACATTGTATGCAATATGTGTGCATGGATATAGATCACAAGATATCGAAACTAAACTTATCAAATGTAGTCTGTTAAGATATTATGTACGTATTAGGATCTAAAACTTAGGGGTCGATTGGCAGGATTTTTGAAAAATCAAAAGTTACTTCCAAATGTACAAAATTGCATTTGAACATATTTGCATAAATTTTTAAAATACTTTTTTTGACTAGAAGAGTTTTTAGAAGATGTTTGCCTGATGTAATTCTATTCTCCAAGAATTTGAAACGAAAATGGAAAAAGGGCCCTTAATGTGATTAAGCCACATTATTTCAGTAAAAATGAATTTTCGAATAGTGTACTGATGGGAAGTGGGTAAGTAAAAAATAAGGAAAAATTTTAAATTTACGTGTAATATTATTATATTGAAAAATGTGTGGTTGAAATGATATCAAATTACTATTTAAAAATACATTTTTTGAGGAAAAAAACGTAGGTCAAACACGGGGCCTTAGAGTACAATAAGATATTAGTTATAATCGCACTTCTTAAATTTTGTCGATAAGATGATGGCGCTCCAAAAAAATCGAGCATAGTATTTAATCAAGAAAGGGGAATAAGTATTTGCATGTAAGAAAAGGCAAATTAAAAATAGTTCGAGATAATTTTATCAAACTTACCGTCTTTTTTTATTCCGAGAAGTGCACCAGAAATTAATGCCAAAGCGCGCGGGGGCACACATATATAACGATGAATTTTGAAATAAAATCAAGCAATGAAGATAGGATTTGTAGTTGGACATAATTCATAATATTAATTACTAAATCATTCACCAAATGTTTTTACTGCCAAAATAAACACAAATTTATTAATTAAAATTCAAATGATTCTATTTATGATTATTATATGCTAATGAAAACCAATTCAAAAATCAGATTTGTGTCAAAAAAATTATAACCTCATTCCTGTCTTTTGCACCACTAGATTATGCCCCGGAGGTATAACAGGAGCTTATTTTGATTTACCAAACGTGTCATGAGCCTATTAACTATTGATGTACTCACAAAAATAATAGGATATCCACCTAAAAACATATATATTCCATCACAAGTGATTCAACGACATTATTTACTCCTTTCATTTGCACCTACTCACCAAATGTATTTATTGCGACATAAATAATTGAAATTTTGCCTATGCATCACTCACCAAATGTATTTATTGCAATAAAAGATAGAACACCAATAAACAATTGAATTTTTAATGATTTAATATGGAGAACCTTTTAGAAATCAGTCATATTTGAACGTACGCTGCATGTTATTTTAAAATATTTTATTTGAAATGTTTTATAAGTGATATAAAAATAATATCTGAAGTTGTGAGAATATAAATAATAATTAATACTAATTGTTTATGTGGAATAAACTAGTGATTTAAATGAAATAAAAATCAGTTTGTGGAAATAATTTAAATAGTTGAGGAAGTCAATTTGACAATCCCTCCATTTACCCTTTTGATGTCAATTAAACATCCAAGGAATATCATCATTTCTTCATAATCACTTAATATGCATTGAACATATCAATTAAAATTATATATTATAGATATGCATTTTGTCCTCATTTACCCTTTATGTATCTTATTGAATAAATCAATTGGAAGAAGAATTTAAAAATATTCATATTTTGTTCCAAAAAAATAAAATTAATGAATTTAATTTACTATCCAATCAAGTGGATTGAAATTGTCAAATTTGTATTGATCATAACTAGATAATTAACAAAATAATACATGATAATATTGTTCAAATGATTAAATAAATCAAATATATATTGCAAAACGAAAAATAAGATCATGAATATGTCAAATGTACATTCATCATAACCAAATAGTTGACAAAATAACTAATGATAATATTGTTCAAATGATTCAAATAATTAATAAATTAAATACATATTGAAAAACGAAAAGTGAGATATTATTGAAATAATTAAATTGTATTGAAAAATGAAAAGAAATGTATTTTTAAAATAATTGAATTATAATAAGGATATAATAGTCTAAAAAATGATTCTCACTAGATATAATATTTAATATATTATAGATTATAGACGTTGTTCTCGTAATTACATAGGACCGCTCCATTTAAATTTCTCTAAAATTACAATATTTTTATATCTTTTTCCTTTCCCCTTTTCCCCTTTTTTGGTGGTTCGAAACATGATCATTATACGCATCTAAAAAGATATGTTTAAATGTTAAGTTGAATATTATTAGGTTAAACAACTAAAAATATCTCCTTTTTTAATGTCTAATCATATGCACCAAACATATTATAAATTTACATTTCTCGATGGTAAGAATTTCTTACTATTTATCAGTCCACAACAGTTTGTGCGGCATTTCATTAGAAGATTTGAGTTCTTTGCTAGTGATATCGAAATATTTGAATCCGTTTATGCTTATGCACTTTGTAATTTATTCCATAATTGGCTCAACGATGGAACAAGTAATGGTAACTCGGTTGTCAATGTGTCGTTTGTCAGTTATTAACAATATTAGAGGCAGCTCCAAGCGAATACATTCACTAGAATTTGCAAACGCGGATGATTTTTAAATTTGTAACTCCTATCGTTTTAGTAATCACTCTTAGATTATCTTGTTCTATGAACAAGTAACCTCTACAATTGGAGGTATAAACATAGACAATATTATCTAAGTTGAATCGATGAGTCTGAATAGATTGTGTTATATATCAAGCTCAAGAGATAGTTTGATGTAATTCCATGGCCAACGGCCTCGAAGGCTTTTTCAAAATTTCTCAAATTCTTTGTGTTCTTTAGAATAATAACTAGAAGTAAGCCCCCCGTTTGGTATTCTTTTTTTCAAAATGCATTTTTCTTTCTCTTATTTTCAACCACACATTCTTTATTAAGATAATATTACACGTAAATCAAAAAAATTTCCTTATTTTTCAATCACACACTTTTTTACATAAAAATGGCTATTAAACACCTCC